TTTTCATGGATACACAAATGCACACATTTTGTTGGATTGGGAACATTTCCTAAATACTAAACTTTCCAGACATGTAAAAACTTTACTGATTAATTTTTTCCCCTGTTTAGATTGGGACCAAAGGAAGATCAGAGAAAATCAGAACTTACAATTTTTCCCAGGATCGGGTTACTGACCATAGAATAGGCAAGTCAGTACATCACATCCAAAGATTCATGCTGGGAGAAGAACTGCTAGATGAAATGATAGAGTCTCTAAGAAGATACAGTGAATATGAGGTGTTAATGGAAGTTATTTCAGAAAATGATGCAAGCAGACCAAAATGACCTTCATCAAATCCTAGACCATAGGTAGGAAAGTGCTTTCAAACTAGTTCACTGCATATGTTTGCTTGCACAGAATTGATTTACAATCCCATATATCAATTTATTTTGGTGCTGCTTAACACCCAAACAACAAATACTGATTACCTCTAACAAGGGGGTTGAATGCACCCTACCCCATGGCCTGGGAGAAGTCAGGTATTTAAGGCATTCCTAAATGCCATGATACAAGCTGTCCATAGCTTAGGGGGACCTAATTCCACAGAACAGGTGCTACAAGAGAAGCTATGCTTCCCAGGTCCTAAAAAATGACAGTGATCAAAGGGACCTGGAGCTTGCCCACTCTGTTGTATCTTACTGACTGGGCAGAAACCACAAGAAATAGGCACTCTCTCAAACAACCAGGCCCATGCCATGTAGGGTTTTATAGGTGATAACTACGGTAGCACTTTAAATTGCATCCAGAAGCATACTGGCACCTAGAGCAACAAGCAGAAGTCAAATGGGCAAGGCTAAAAGCATGCTGAGACTAAATGGCTAAGTTTGTCTGTTTTCTATTTTGTTTTTGAAGGATTTTGATGTGTATATTAAATGTATATGCTGCCTAATTTCCAGTGACTCTGAATGGCATGAAAGTTATTACTGTTGTGAAAAAGCATCAATGTTTCAGGTAGAAACTGTTAAATATATTTATTTATTTAATTTATACAGCTGCCCATCTCAATGAGTAACTCCAGCGAATCTATAATTCTGGTTAACAGAATTAAAATAGAACAAAAACAATAGCGAACATTACAAACATTAAAAATTCAGGCAGCCAAGAAACAATAACCCAAATCACTAACACAACCAAGAAGCCAAATTCTAAAAACTGGGTTATAGCTTCCATACTTGGATAATGGTGAGAAGTGGGAAAACTGAGAATATGCCAGTTTTCAAGTACTTGCTCATAGTCAACTGTGCAGTTGAAGTGTTTATGTATTTGTTTTATTTCTAGGCAGTCCATTCTAGATGGCTCTGGGCAAGTAACAGTAAGAAACACCAGTAAGCTTCCAAATAGTAAACTAAATATAGTATCAAAATTGTACAAAAAATGAACATAGACCTGCCAAATTAACATTTTCAAACACAGCATACCCTCCTGTGCTTGATGGAAATAACCAGATTTTAACTAGGTCTTGATCTAATTAAGTCTTTGCAATGTTGCATGAGTACATAAATGAAAAGGGTAGAAATTGATGGATATAAGTGAATTATCCAGACTACTTTGGATATATCGGGCAAAGTTCGAACCTTATTTTTTGGACATGTCCATGTTCAAAACTGCACTCAGTCAGCCTGATTGAAATCATTTCCCTTAAGAATTTACTGTTTGCTAATAATTATAGGTGGGGTTCCTTATCTTACGTATAATAGATTTTGTCTGTGTTGCATCAAAGATGGGGGAATCCAGGACTTTACAGATCTAGCGGCTTTCATTTTTTAAAATCTTTTAAAAGGGTGCTCCTGAGTAGCAGCAACGTTTTTTCCAAATTCTTTTTCCATTTGAGGGGAAACACTCTGAGGTGCTTCCTGACCTTGTGGGCAGAAACATTTTCCTACAAATGTTTCATTACCCAAGTTAGGTAACATCATTAGTGCTAGTAATGAATTTTGCTCTTAGCTCTCCTTTTTCATTTAGGTAGTCACATATACTTGTAAAAGGCAAGTCAAAGTCTATGTTAAGAAAAGGAGTCCCTGTGTAAATGATAAGGAATGTATATTTTGTAACAATTTTTACTTGAAATAAATTACATTGAGAATTGTCTTTTGAGAATTGGATTTTTCTGAATATTAAAACAGAAAAAATTCCTTGACTATGCAACCTTTATTCAGAGGCAGATTCAGGTTTGCATCCATGCTTCTATTTATTGTCTTACTTTGTCTCCTGTTTTTGCACAAAAAAATAAACAGGGCAGTGTAAATGATGAAAACAGCTTACTTGTAAAAGATCAAACGCTTCCCAGCAACCTCTCCCATTAGACATTTAACTGTAGCACTACCCTACCAAAAATAAAGAGGATTATATCCCTTTACATACGCATTAGCTCTCTTAATGATATTGCCAGGGTCATCTCCAAAGAAATTTTAATGAAAAGTTGAAGCATAGTTCAGGAATATCTGTTTAACTTTTCTAAATATGATGGGATTTCTTCATTGATAACATATTCTACATGGGCTCTTAAATCGCCTTGGATTTTTAAAATATATAATGTAAAAACAAAGGGAATCCTATCTTGAAGTTTTTTACGTGTGCGCTTGTTACTGTGAAAGGGTCATTTCTGATCAATGCCCTTCCTTTGAAGGATGTAAATAATTGTGGGAAATAAGTGCATCATTCTAAAGCAGGGGTCTTCAAACTTGACAGCTTTAAGACTTGTGGACTTCAACTCCCAGAATTCCTCCTCCAGTCATGTTTGCTCAGGAATTCTGGGAGTTGAAGTCCACAAGCCTTAAACTTGCCAAGTTTGAAGACTCTTGTACTTAAGTCACAAATCGTGCCTACTTAATTGAATGAGAAAGCATGATTCCTCAAATAATACTGGCAAACAGTAAGATAACGCAGGGTCACTGTGGGGAGGGTCAAGGAACTTTCTATCGGTCCAATGCTTTGTTTGGATGACCATAGCTTGCCTCCCGAAATTTAAAAAAAAAAAAAAAAGCATTAATTTTCTTGGAAGTTTAGGGTAAAATATATAGGACGGGGTCCTCGAATATTACAGGGAATACTTTCCAAATCAGGTGCCATTCGGAATAGACTGTAGCTCCATCTTACCACATTAAAATTAAAAAAGGACCAACTTGCATCCAAGTTGAGTTACTTTAGAAAACGTGCTAAGAATCGCGGCGGCCCGAATAAACGAGTTTCCCCCTTAACGGCCAGTTTTAAAAAAAAAAAAAAAGACCGAAAAGAGATGGGATCGGTGCCTTAACAATCCGGCCACAGGCTCTCTCTCTCTCTCTCTCTTTTTTTTTTTCCCTTCGCGCCCTGTAGCCACATCCCGTCCCCGCGCTCGTCGTCTCAGGAACCCGGGGGATGGGCACGAGACACTCAAAGGGCCACGTCCAATAGAACATCCCCGAACAGAGGGAGAGCGCGCGAGCCTTGTCGCACTCCTGGGCAAGCGCCGCAGCATCTCCCGCGCTCTGGCGGTGCCTTAAATCTACACCACCCACCACCACGTCCAAGAGAGGGCAGGAGCGCGCGCTAGCCGGCCTCTTTTTTTTCCCCCTCCCCCTTTCCCCGCGCGCGCGCTCAGTCTTTTAAATCCCTTGGCTGGAGCTGAAGGCTGGCGGGCAGAAATGGGAGGGGGGCGGGGAGAGAGGGAGTCCCTTTCAACGGCAAGGCACACCTCGCGAACCGGCATTGGCCGGCGCCACTCGCTTCTCGTTGATTGGCTGCCGGCTTTGGCTAGAGCTCCTCCTAATTGGCTCTTCGGGTTTTGGATACCAGATTTAAACCTTTTAAAAGTGCCCGGAAAGGAGATTCCACCCAGAGCAGACGGAGGCTGACTGACTGGGGAGGGGGGGAAAAAAGAAAGAAAGCGCGAAAGGAAGCAGCGCTTTTTGCCGGCTAGAAAACCAGCTACTTCAGGTACCGGGGCTTTTTGGATGCTTATTTTGCGGGAGAACCGTGGCTCTTGTTCCATGATGCGGCCCTAAGCGGATTGCTCATAAAGCAAGCTCGGCTCCGATCCCCACGACCACGAGACTCGAATGAATGGACTGGCCGATAAGGGGTACTCAGTTCTGCGGGGTGGGGGAAGAGAAGGAATACGGGACTGCAGCGATAAAAAAAAAAAAAACCCACAACCCTCCCGCCTCAATCGCCACGGATTGAGAAACTGACTCGGGCAGAAAGTCCCGCCAGCGGAACAAGCTTCCTCCCGCGTCTTGGCCGGGGGTGCCTGCAGGAAAACCTGCATCACTCCCCAGCATATCCTTGATCTACTGCACCGGGTAAAAAAAACCATTCTGGGGGTGGGCGATCATTTTCTCCACCCCAATGCCCCCAATTGTCTCTTTTTTTTTTCCTTTCCAAAAATGCATCCCTGAGGGCAAAAAAAAATGGGTGCCCCTTTGCGATGGGAGGGGGGAACGACTTGGATCCGGTTGTGGGACGGTTCCTTCTTTCTCTCTCCCGCCCCCTCCCAAATCTCTTTCTTGGAGGCCGCCTCGCGGAGTCAAGCGCGCCCGGCGGGCTCCATTTCTAAAGAGCTCAGGGCGGGTTTGAGAGCTCCCTCGCTTTTTGCTGGAGCGCGCCAGTAAGCCAGATTGGATGGCAAGGGCAGTTGGCGTGACTTCTGTGGCCACTGAGCTTTCCTTCCACCACCAGCCCGACCTTGATTGAGCACTTTCCTAAAAGAAACCGGGCGGGTGGGGGTGGGGTGGGGTAGAGAAGCTAGATTTTGAAAGGCCCCGAGCAAAAAACTTAGCAGGGGCAGAAAGAACTCCCGCCCTCCAGTTCGTCCTCTGCATTTAAAGGGATCTTTTCTGTCAAGCTGGAAGCTTTGAAAATTTTGGGAGGGAGAACAAAAATTAATCCCACCAGGCCAAGCAAAAAGAGAGGGTTGGTGTGTGGCCTCTTGTGCTGTCCTTCCTGGTTCCCTTATCAATAATCCCTTAATAATAAAATAATACCTTTGAAATTACCTTTATGGCTCCCCATTTTCTTTTAACTCCTTGAGCTTATAGAAATCTGAGTATTCTTCTCATCCCCATTGATTAATAAGGTATTCACCCAAAGCACATGTCTTTAAATAGCTGTTGCCATGCAGCAGTTGTGCAATTCAGGCAGTTTCAAAAATGGTTCTGAAACAGACAGACTTCATTGTCTCACATAGATGAAGGCACTATAAGTAGGTTAGAACCAAAGAGCATATCCTGATGACTGCATTATACTATCCATAAATAATACCTGCAATTGATCCTTTTTCAAATTCACTGAATGAAATGTGTAGAGCCTATTAAAATACTTCTGGAATGACTTCCATTAGCAGATTGGGGTAAGGTAATTTTTCCTTCCTTGTGTAACCTCCACATCTATACAACCAGGGGAACAGAAGGGAGAAAAAAATTGTAATGTGAATGAGAGTTATTCATGCTTAGTTGGAGTCTGCCAAATCCAGCTCTATGGAAAAAGATATCTAAATTGCATTGCTAGCTTCCTAGAAAAAAGTTTGTATTTTGAGATAAAAGAAAGTTGCGTACTAACCTTTACTGAAGCAGTTTTTAGCACAAGAACAATTGGAAAATGTTAGACAAAGCTAGTGCCATGTGTTCTGATTAAAAAAAAAAATAGATCAAAGACTATTCAATTTTGCCCATACAGGAAAACCACTGTTAGAGTCTGAAAAATGGCTGACCAAATTCAGAGTCCTTAAGCAGATGTGATTTGCTAACACCTTGCCAATGCAGGAAAACCACTGCTACAGAATGGCTTGGAAAACTCACAATCCTTAAGTAGATATGATTTATTAACTACTTAATAGGTTATTATATACCAACATTGTGTAACTTGGGTTCCTCTAATCAAATTTGTGATAAACATACCATATTTATTGCCATCTTTAATTTGAGTTCTGTTGAATTGGTCTGTATGGATATCTTACTAAGTTGCATATATGCAGAATAAAACATTATGATTACTGTTTTGTCTGAAGCCAAATACCTTGCCCCTTATATTAACCCTTTCTATAGAATGCCACATTTCTATTTACAATTATCAACAAAATAATCAAGAATTATCAAAATGAAGGCAACAATTTGTTGATTTTGTTTAAAAAAAAAACCTGTTCTTTACTTTCAACCATTCTCTAGTTTAAAATAATGATTTGGACTAACATATATTTCTTAATTTCAGGGAACATTTGAAAAGCTACCCTAACCACTGAAAATGAAACGCGATTTTAATTATACCCATGTTTACTGTGGATCTTTACCATTAAAACTAACTGGAACAGAAGCAACACCAGAAGAGCCTTGCTCTGAGAGTTACAGTGAAAAATGCAAAGGCTGTACCAAAGAAAAGCTGTTCTATGGTGACCTGCATCATGGAAGTCCCAAGAATTTCAACCTCAAAAGTGGAGAAAAGCATATGCATAATAAAGAAAACCAAAAAGTATCATGGGGCCATATTGAAAGTGCCAATGAAGTTGACAATGAAAACGAAGACAGTGGCTATTCCTCTTTGTTGGGTATTCAGCACAAACCCAATGATAATGATGACAGTGTGCTATTAGCAGGGAATATCAACAATATACCAAATCATAGTTTCAGTCCAAGAAAGAATTTACTACCAGTCCTCCATTTTGAAGAACTTGTCTGCTCAACTTTGAAAAAAGCTAGCAAACGGAATCCAAAGTCATGGGCCCTTGTCTTAGATAAAATGGCTTCAAGGAAAATGGAATTTGTGAATCTGATTGGCAAAAAAATGGGATTAGATAAGCTAGATATTATTGGAGAATTATTTCATGGGAAATTTAGACATCTGTTAGCAAACATCTTAATACACCTTAACCATAAAGACTTGATAAAGTAAGTTCACAATGTTGTGTTTTCCCTTGGCAAAATAAATACAGGTTAACCTATACTGTATTAAATTTAAAGATTTTCTTAAAGCCCATGATATGCTTTCTTGGGCAAAATGCTAGTTTTCATTACGTGAAAATATTTCACAAGAAGACTGAAGCTATATCAAAAATGTATTTCATAAATGGAACAAGACATGGGCTGTATGCTCACATAAAATAACTATTTTTTTTCTAGTTATAGCATTAGCGCTACAGTACTGAAGAGAATTCTGACATTTGCAAATATACTAGGATGAGCTTTAGATATAACTCACAAAGTCATTGTTGGGGCAAAAGAAAATGCATTCCTAAAGGTTAAGCAATGAAAATATTTATCATTTTTCTTTTCTACATGTTTAATGAAATGGAGACCCATTTCAGAAAAGGATGAAGAGTTTTCCAGTGTCTACATTGCTCTAGTTCAGGGGTGTCAAATCCACATCATGTGACATAGCGGGACTTTTCCCCTTTGTTAAACCAGACATTGGTGCGTGATGCATCTGGCCTACAGGCCGGAAGTTTGACAGCACTGCTCTAGTTGATACTTTTCTATATCTTTAAGGAAGCAAGTTCACTGAAAGCAGTAAAGGACTGTTTTTTTAAAAAAACAAACAAACAAACGCTTATATTTATGCTATATGTATATTGGATGTTTCTATGGTTTCTGTTAAGTAATAATTAGAATGCTGCCTGATTTTAACTATGCGTTTTCTTTCCACAACAGCATGGCTAAAGTTAGCATTACATGGAAGAAAATTCTTCTTAGTGACAAGTGGGCTTTCCAGATGTATAACGAAGCACTAAAACTCAGTTTGGTAAGTCTAGAGCTTCTCAATGTTTATCACAGAGACCTGAATTTTTATAAACCAAATCCCTGTAAATCATACAGCAGGATGTAGCTGTAACATTCAGTTTCTGTTTCTAAACAGTAGAAGTGGTTAAAATAATATAAAGAACAATGTATCACAAAAATTTAATTTTTGTATGTAAATATTTTTTTAAACTGAAAAATGATGTGCAAGAAAATAAATTTGCCAAAAGAGCCATCAGGGAGATCTTCCTGGAGAATTGCTTTCTCCAAACATTACTGTTTATACTGAATGTCTGCCTGAAGGTGTAATGGGTAGACAATATCATCCAATATGTGGTCCCAAACTATGACTGGTTTGAGGTCGAGTGGGTAAAAAGGCTAAACTAAGAAACCACTTTAAATTCTATAACATAGGTTAGTTTTATGACAAACAGACTTTTCTCCAGAGGGAATCAAGTTGGGGATTGTAAAGGAAAAAAAATATTAGTTAAATGTTCAATTCCCCAGTCATTTCTGAAAGGCTTATTTACTATGCAGTATATGGAGAGATGAAAACATGTTATGTGCAAGTATAGTAATGAGTTACTGTATTTTCAGACAGAAGCAAATCATTGTTTAATGATTTACTAATGGTTTATTAAAATTTTCTTTTCTCCACAGAATAGCAACACAGTAGCTGCCAAACAGTCTGATACACGGGAGTATGCTCTCCATCGTGAACCATTAACGTATATTCAGAAAGTAGCATCGACACAAATCAACTTTTCTAAAAAAACATCCCGAATGAAATCAAACGCCCAGAAAAATCAGAGCTCTTCTTTCAGCCGGCATTCACAATTTTCTGAGGTAATATAAAATACAAATATTTTAATCTTGATTTAATATATACTGAAAGTACAGGAAACCACTTATTAAGATTGTCAGACTGAGCTGAAGAATCTTTTGGAGCATAAGCAAACTCAAAGGCAGGAGAAAAATTTGACTATGCCTTTGGGCACGCTCATAGCAGGGAGTTTTAGTATCACAAAGTTTGGGAACCTTTGATATACACTGATTAACATGTCACAATGAAAAGTGATAAACTTAGTTTGAATGATTCAATCAAATCATTGGCAACGTGGGCAAGAAGTTGCCCCAATTCTTAATTTTAATGTTTTAAACAATTTGTAAATTTCCCAGAGTCCCTGGGAGCTGAGCAGTAATTACATTTTACAATGGTAAATTATTGGTACAATACTCCAATTTTAGGGACTACCATAGCTAGTGACCATTTGTAAATAAGACAGTAATAAAAAATCATTCCCCAACCAATAGCAATAGCATTTAGACTTATATAACTGCCCCATAATGCTTTAGAGCAGTCCCTGGGTGTTTACAATGTAGAAGCAGTATTTGCATATTACCCTTAACAATCTGGATCCTCATTTTACTGATCTCAGAAGGATGGAAGGGTGAATCAATCTTGACCTCTGTCAGGATAGAACTCAGAATGCGGGCAGAATTTTGCCTGCAATACTACATTTTAACTACTGCACCTCCAGAGCTCAGTGGAGTATATACAGCCAAATTTCATGTGTCTGACAACAAAAGCTTTCAGTGTGAAACTGATTATCATCTGGTCAGTTTGAAGCTGCAGTGCCAGCTGGCTAGAGACTTAATCAACTAATTTAAGGTCACAGAACTGAGCTTATTAGCTTGAAGTTAGGGCTTAAGAGAATGCTATGTTACAAAGAAAAGCAACTCTGGAAGCTATAGCCTATTTAGGCAATCTCTATCTTGTGATGGAGGGAAAATAAATCAGGCACAAGGCGTTGTACAAGAGAACTTCATCTGGATGAGATGGCAACAACCAGTGATCTTTACAGCATCTCTTTCTCAATCACATGTTGGTTAGGAGTCATTTTACCTATTGAGAAAATCACAAACAGATTGGTCATTAAACAAGGACAGAGTGAACCTATCTCTTAGAATTTTCTAAACATGTTCCATATGGTTTATTCTAGGAAATTGGTTAAAAAAAACAACTTCAAAAATACATGCTGGATTATGTGTTTTGTTTTGTTTTTAGGTTGCAAAGACTTTGAAAAATACTGAAAGTCTGAAAGTTTGCCATCGCTGTGGTTCCCCTGCAAAATACGATTCCCATCTGCAAAGGGCAACGTGTGTCCGAGAAAGCTGTGGTTTTGACTTTTGCACAAAGTGCTTGTGCAGCTACCATAGTGCCACGGATTGCATCATTGGAAAGCCTGTAAAAACGTCTTTCAGACTAGGACCTCTTCCTTGTAGCAAAAAAAGCAAACAGAATTTACGGAGGCTATAATTTTCCTGACATAAATTTTAGCTCGGGTATCATATTTTGCTTATAGGTTCAGAAGAGGAGTGAATGTGAAAGTTGTGGTCTAATTTAAAAAATGCAGTGATATTTTTAAAATCAATTTTAAATTTTTTTTCAGATGTCTTCCTCTCCCCTTTTTAGAAGGATGTTCAACAGAATTTTTAAACTACTAGGTTTACATGGGAATTGAACATGACAACCCTGACTTAGCAAATAGACTAACAGTGGATTTTAATTAAATGTTACCGTTGCTACCCCCAAATTATTTTTTAAAGTTTTTATATGGCCTCTAACTTCATGCCTTTATAAAATGCCTTTCAGAGTTTTTACAGTACAATCTATAATAAGCAAATGATATTTAATGTATTTGCAATGCCAAATTTTTATTAACTGAATTTCATCTGATTAAAAGATTAAATATATAAATAGGAGAAGTTTTTATAACCACACTTGTCCTGATAGCTGCTGAAATAGTGTTGTCCTGTACCATTTCATTTTCATTACTAGGTAAAGTTGCCTAGAAATGTATATAATTGTAAATACTTAAATATTTGTTTGTCTACATGAAAAATAAAAACTATCTTTATAAATAAAACCGTCTCTGCTATGTGAATGTGACAGCCTTTAAAGATTAATGATGCCTCCATGGTGGCCCACTAATCACTTCAGTTCAATGCTCATTAGGTTGCTCATTGAAATACCTTCATGCATTTGGAAGCTGGGTGCTTAGCATGAGCACTGATTTGCTCATGAGGTGTACACAGGTCTTTTCTAATTACTAAACTATGCTATATGAGTAGGAAGGAATAAATAGAATCTCCCTGATAGGTCCTTTGCAGAGAATTATGTTGATAAAAGGATAGATATGTTACTGTAATTTTCCAGAGGTTCAGGAATAAAGCTGTCAACATACTTTACCATTGACAACCATCTGAGGCTGCTGTGAGTTATAATTTGGTAATGCCTTAGTTTTTCACTCCTGTTAGAACAGATCTTTTTCCCACCATATTTAGGGCAGGACAATGCATTATTCCCCTTTGCCCTGAGATCTGGTATATTCCGTTTTGGCTGGCTTTTATTTTGCAGAACAACACAAAACATTTCACACCTAGAGAAAGCAATCACAAATCAAGGAAACTTCCCTCTTTTTTTTATCCCAAAGCTTAAAAATACATGAGTTCATACTGACAAACTGCTACTTTACCACCCAGTAAATAGAGTTTAAAAACTGGCCAAGGTGAAGGTTCTAAAAAAATCTCTTAGCCTAACTCAACCTCACAGGATTGTTGTGAAGAAAATAGGAAGAGGAAGGATTATTAGATAATGTTTTCTCCCTTGAGTTAATTAAAGCAGCAGCCCCTAACCTTTTGTCACCAGGGACCGGTTCCATAGAGGGTTTTTTCCACAGACCAGTGGCATTGTTTCATGTGCTGCCTCATCCTGTGGATGGGGCTTCACTTGTTTGTGCAGGCTGGTTTCTGGGCTGCGGGTTGGGGACCCCTGATATATATAGAATAAAGGTGGGATTAAAAAATCGCTTTCTAAATAATACGAAAGCAACCAAACCAGTGTAGATCTTTTTTCACTTTTAAAAACTGTTCAGAAGCTCAGCCAAACGCATATCATTTTTAAAAGACAACACTGTTGAACTTCATCTACTGCTTTGTGTAAAGCAACACCTACTTGGGTTTGGCTCTAGCAGGACGGAGGTCCCGTTAGTCACTATAGGAGTAGCTTAACAATGCCATCATATAGACCAGGGGTCCCCAACCACCAGTCCGCGGACCGGTACCGGTCTGTGGAACAAGTCCTACCGGGCCGCTGGTTTGCTGGGCGCCGCCATCTTTTTTTGATGAAAAAGTGCTTCCGGTGACGTCACCGGAAGCACTTTTTCATCAAAAAAAGATGGCGGCGCCCAGCTGATGCCGGTACCGGGCCGCGGCATAAAAAAGGTTGGGGATCACTGATATAGACAATACCTGATTGAAAGAATTCAATTGTCCAATAATCTAGCACAGAACTTGGAGGCAGAGGAGAAATATATTATTAACTAAGTTGATGAGCACGATGTCTGGAAACAAGGCTGTTTTGAAACAATTTTCCAACTTCATAAAAAGAATTCATAAAAGAATGGCAACCAGTCTGATGTGACGCAAGTGAAGAGAAGGAAAAATGGGACTTCAGGATGCACACAAAAAATGAGATCCCTCCCCCACCCCTTCAATTGTAACAGTCCTTCAGATACCCAAAAGAACACGCCAATCACAGGACTTGGGATGATTGTAACACTTGAAACAACACTGAAATTGGTGTTTGTTCTGAATAGAGGATCAAACAGTATCTTTTGGGGTGTTGACCCAAATGAAAGTCTGATTAAACTATGTTCTTTTCTATTGGTAAAATCGAAATGACCACTTCAAGCTCCAAACATTTTGTACACCCTTAGATTTAGAAACCATGAGATCTAATTCCATTGTATCTTGTGTGACCTTGGGCCAATCCATCTCTCTTAGACCTAGGATGCAAGTAAAGAAAATCTGTTTTCAAAACCTTGTCAAGAAAAGTGTAGACCTTAGCAGAATAACAGAGTTGGAAGGGACCTTGGAGGTCCTCTATCCAACCCCCTGCTGGAGCGGGAGACCCTATCCTTCCAGAAAATGGCTGTTCAATCTCTTTTTTAAAAGCTCCAGTGTTGGTGTATCTACAATTTCTGAAGGCAAGCCGTTCCACTGATTAATTGTTCTCACTGTCATCAAATTTATTCTTAATTCTAGATTGGATCTCTCTTTGGTAAGTTTCCATCCATTACTTCTCTTGCCATCAGGTGCTTTAGAGAATAAGTTGTCTCCCTCCTTCTCTGAGACAGCCCCTCAAACATTAGAAGGCAGCTTTCATGTCATCCCTAGTCCTTTGTTAAACTAAATATCCCCGGTTCTAGGGGTAAGATTCAAATTTTTTAACAACTGGTTCTGTGGGCATGGCTACGTGGACGTGACCATGTGACTGGGTGGGTGTGGCTTCTTGAACTGGAACAATTGCTTATTCTTAAGCAATGTTCAATTTTCTTGGAAGTTTTACATTCTTAGCAATCCCATAGTCTGAAAAGAAAAAGACCACAGGATGGTGCTGTTGCCTATTTTATGACCAAAGGAACGCAAACACGACTTGAGGGAAGCAATTTCCGTAATCTCAGGTGAATATTAGGGAATCAGAAAAGGCCTTATTCATTGTTTTCTTTATGGTGCTATTATGTGCTAGGGTAGAGCCATCACCATCTCAAAAAAGTTATAGAAAGTTATAGAAGACCAGAAAGGAAAGAAGTGTAGGGAGAGAGGAAGACATGGCAGTGGTGGGATTCAAAAAAATTTATTACCGGTTCTGTGGGCATGGCTTGGTGGATGTGGCAGGGGAAGGATACTGTAAAATCTCCATTCAGAGGTGGTATTTGCCGGTTCTCCAACTACTCAAAATTTCCGCTACTGGTTTTCCAGAACTAGTCAGAACCTGCTGAATACCATCTCTGAGACATGGACTTATTTGTAAGATTCTGAAACTTCACAATCTTCTAACCAGGGTATTATTGAGATTCTATTGATACATCTACACATACATATATATATGGCAATTTCTGAGAGGGGGCTGGGGCTAGGCTATAGTCATATTATATTACATATCTTACCAAAAACCCTTTCACACGTTAGCTAAAAATACAAAACAATTTTAACGGTATTTCGGTCATTTTTAATGCTGTTTGGATAGTTGCTAGAGCATAACACCTCAACCACATGAAGGCTGTATTTTTTTTTGGACAGGTGCCAAAAGGTTGTGGCGGCATAAGCAATCATAAGAGTATTACATTTTTCTATTTCCCTTCTCTTTTGAAATCTAGCATAGTAGAGTGGTTAAATATAAGATATTATGGAAGCTCACAATTTAGTTTTTCTTTCTGACCATCAATTTATTATCCAAAATGTAAGAATGTTTGGTGTTTTTTTTAAAAGAAAAACAGGATTAAAATATAAAAACTCTTGTGCTAGCCATTCTGTCATTTATTCTTTTTTTTTAAACAAATTTTATTAGTTTTTAAAGACAAACAAAACATAAAACATAACATAAAACCTCTTTTCTGAAAGCTACTTGTAAATTTTAACAAGGCAAATAAAACATTGTTTTATGCAGCATTAACACATTTCCATATAAACACATACATATCTTTTTCAAATTTCTCATTATTTCTCCCTTTACTTTTATTCAATTATATTTCTTTTCTATATTTATCTATTTTATATGTTTTTATTCATTATACTTATATTTTCATCTGACTTGTTTACAATTATTCTCTTCTAACATTCCTCCAAGGTTTTATTAATTCTCAATCAAACATAAACACACAGAAACACAAAACATAGAAACATAAAACTTCTTTTTGGAAAGTGGCTTAACCCTGGGTTACATCTTTTTGTACAGACCTAAATCAAATTCATGCTCATCTTGTATACCATTACTTATCTTATTTACCATTCTATATTTTCTATATAACTTCTCCCCTCTTTTCACTCTCTTAATTCTATTTTATTTATTTCATCTTAATTTAAATCATTATACTTGTATCTTTTGTCCGTTCTTTTCCAATTATCTATTTATCTCTTCTCTTTAACACAAAATTTCTCCTGTAATCACTAATTGAAGTATGACGCCTTTCTATCTTTCCCCAAAATTTAACATTTAAAATAATACATAATTTCCATTCTAATTCTGCTTAGTACACTCTAAATACTACATTTTAAAATAAGAAAACAACAAACCTATAATATAGTTAGATATATAATTTCCATTCTGATTCTGCTTAATACATTTTAGATACTACCCTTTAAAATAAGAAAATAAGAAAATGACAAGTTTATAATGACATTAAAACAATAGCAAATTAAACTCTATCATTAAATCTTGGACATTTTACACATTCCCTTTAATATTTTATTAAATATTAAAATCTATCATTAAATCTTAAGCATTTTAATATTTTAACATTTTATTAAATCTTATAATATTCCAATTTTCTATTTCAAATACAAATACTACAATACAATCTTGTGTATTTTTGCAGAATCTCTTTTTAATTATATTTTACCCTTTGTCTCTAAAAAAAATTTGCTTTTTCCCATCTTGTTTCAAGCCTTTATGACTTCTTTTCCCTTTTTCCCTTCCTTTCTTATCCAATTTGGCCTTTTTACCCCCCCCCCCTTAACCTCCGCCTTTTTAACCTCCCCTCTCTGTTGTATTCCTCTTTTCTGTTGCTTTCTGATATTGTATTGATTTTTCACCTTATTTTTCTCTTTCTTGGTTGTTTTTTTGAGTCTCAGATTCTCCATTTTCCTTCCCCTCTTCCTCCCTTCTTTCTTGGCTAAAGTTATTTGTCCATTAAAGATGGCTTCTTCTTCTTGTTGTTGTTGTATTTGCTGGTAGGTAGAAATCGCCATTTCTAAGAAATGAAAAACAGATCCAAAAGAGCCCTTGCCTTCTTGTTCCTCTTCTTTTAATTTTTCAAATTCCATTTTT